CACTGGGAACAGGCTCCAGCTGTTCTTCTGCCCCACTGATGTCTGACTCCGAAGGCAGCTGATAACTGGCATACGGCTCGAGCCCCCTCTCTGCCCTCCGACACAGAACCCTCCTCAGAGCCTTCCCCAGACTCCAGGACTGGCCCAGGTTCCTCCCCAACCTCCTCACTGTCCGAATCTGCTGCCAGCTCTGCTGGCGGGCCACAACAAGAGCCAGCATCTTGCCAAATCACTCAGGAGTAGCATGGGAAGATTTCTTTTTTTAAAAAAAGGAAAGCCTTCATAAAACTCTCTCCATATAAGATGTCCTCGATTTACGACCGCAGTGAAACCCCAAAATTTATGTTGCGAAGCAAAACAGTTGTTAAATGAGTTTTGCTTCATCTTACGATCTTTCTTGCCACTGTTGTTAAGTGAATCACTACAGTTGTTTAGGTTTCTTTGCAGTTGTTACAGGGGTTTCAGAGTATAGGGAGTCCTTGACTTACGATCCCAATTGAGCCCAGCGTTTCTGTTGCTAAGTGAGACCACTGTTAAGTGAGTTTTGCCCCGTTTTACGACCTTTTCCTGACCAGTAAAGTCAACCAGAATCTCTTAACTGGGGTTGCTAATGTATCAACTGCAGTGAGTGACTTAACAACTGTGGCAAGTCGTAAAATGGGGCAAAGCTCACTTAACAAATTTCTCACTTAGCAACATAAATTTTGGGGTCAATTATGATCGTCAGCCGAGGACTAAGTGTATCCATCCTTCCTGTATTCATCCATCCCTCCTTCCCTCAATTCTATTCATCCACCCATCCATCTATCTACCTACGTATTCATTCTATCACACAGGTGAGTAATACAATACAATAGCAGAGTTGGAAGGGACCTTGGAGATCTTCTAGTCCAACCCCCTGCCTAGGCAGGAAACCCTATACCGTTTCAACTACGGGCCCTTTACAAATTATAAACTGGCTCGGAAATTCTGGGAATTGGTCCACAGGTTGTAAAAAGGGCCATAGATGCTCATCCCTTTTCTATCGAATTTAAGAGGCTGCCCAATTCAGCTTTTTTTTAGCTGCCCAAGAGCTAAAAGATATTGGACAAAAATACATATTTGGTTGGAAAAAAAATGATAAAGCAGCATATGGGTTTGAAACCAGAGGCATTTTTGTTGTGCATCCTACCAGAAAAATATGATAAAAAGACTATATATCTGGTTTTACATACTGTATACTAACTGCAGCCAGAATTGCATTTGCATAACAATGGAAAAACGATGAGATTCCGTCAGATGAGAATGTAATTTAAAAAAAAATCTAGAATGCGCAGAAATGGACAGATTAACACTTCCTATTAAGGATAAAGAAGAAACTGAATATTTTTCAATGGGGGATGTATTTTATCAATGCTCAGAGAATAGAAATAGAAGTTAGAAAGGAGGAGATATAAAAAAAGAGGAAAAGTTAAGGTGGAAAGAATTTAAAGATGATGGTTGTATGTAATATTGTGATGAATATAACAACAAATATGTGGATTGTGACTGTTCAAATAATTCTACCCAGATCACCTGCTGTTTGATGGAAATTGAAAGTAATGTAAATAAAACATAAAAAAAGATGCTGCTTTCTATGCAGAGGAGAAAAAGAACCACAGATACATGGTGCCTAGAGGGGCCTCATTTGTGGCCACTCTAGAATCGGCCGGAGTCTGGAATAGAGAAATAACCATCGATTAACCTCCGGTTGCATCTTGCCGTGTCTTGATTTTTTGGGGCAAACTGTGGTTTCCTACGTGGTTTACGCCACTCCTTTACCCACAGGTTACTACATAGTCCACGCCTAAACCTCACGCTAGCCACAATCCCAAGATAGATGTCGACATCATACAAATGATTTAGGAGGCATTTTCTGACAGTGGGAACAAACCACCAATGGAACAGAAGTTGCCTTTAGAAGTTGTGGGAGGTTTTATCACTGGAGGCTTTCAAGGAGAGATTGAACTGCCATCTCTCAGAAATGGC